CCCTTATGGTTGTTATGAATCATCCATAACAACGGTAGAAACAGTTCTGAGAACCCCCACTCAAATACAATATGTCGTGTATTTTAAAGGTAAAAGAACTTTATGTGTAATCGCGACATTGGCATTTTGTTTGTAATAGTATATTTATTCAAATGCAGTTACATTTTATCCGATAACAACACTTGAAAAATTAAAAAAAAATAGCTAACGACATTTTTAAGGAAACGGAAATAGACAAGATAAGGGTAATAAAGACTAATAATAGTTTCTTATTTATTAAAGTTAAAACTAAAAACTTGAATAAATTTGCACATCTCCGATTACTATTACAAAAAAAAAACAATATTCGGACGTGTCATAATCCGGTGTCAGAATTTTGTGAATCATTTTTTAATTTACAATTTAATTTCACGCTCTTGTTTTCAGATTGCCTATTTAATCCATGCAATTAGTTTAATATAATTATATTTTTATAAGTCAATTATCATTAAAAGCCGCACAATCTCACTTAAAACATACATTTATAACTTTAACGATGTTGCCGCAAGTGTTTCAAGGTGAATAAAAATAAATTAAAAGTGAATGAAAATACTCTTCATACTTTCACTCTAAAGAAATGTAGATATTTTAAGAAAGTTATTTTACAAAAACGTACGCAGAAATAAATCGTGTTGTATTTTTAACTTTTAAATAATGATAAAGGTTATACAAATTGACAGGACTGTACTTAACTTGTAAAGCAATTATTACCTATATCTCATACTTGGATATCTATACTATTAGTTTGCTGACAAACTTTGCTTTTGCCGAAATAAAAGAGTCTGCCAAACATGCCTTTGGTCTATAATAGTTTAGGACAAATAGGCAAAGAAAAAAATAGATGGTGTCATATAGAAAATGAACTGCAGATATTTTTTGTATAATACAAAGTTAGTAAACATGCTTCTATCGGGTCTAAAAAGTAGTTTACACTTCATTCCCACGTTCAGTTTCGCGTAAAATCCATAAATTACATAGATCTAATCAATTGAGCGCAAACCGAGCAATAGTCGGAAGTCGGTCAGCGTGCCGCAGCGCATTTTGTTGCAACAATAACTTCACGGGTCAACATTCGAATCTCCAACGCACGCCTCAGTACTATTGCTGCATGTAATTTGCCTTAAGTGTTTACAGTCTACTTATAATTGCAATAAAGCAATAATTTTAGATAGATTTTCCTTTTTTTGCATTTATTTTATTTAAAACAAATATTGCGTTTTTATATTGAATAAGCTAACGCTTGACCGCAATCCCACCTGATGTTGTAATGATGTGGTTGAAAGATGGTACGTGCTAGCTAAGTAAATGCCTATTCATCGATCTCCTAGCTTAATTTCGCTTTCAAGACTTACAATAATATGTTTACAAATCGACACAACACAGCCAACATATTTCTTTATATTTTTTTATTAAAACGTTAAATTATAATATTTATTCAACCTTGAAATACGGCCCTTCGCAACGCAAACTAATTAATACAGCCTCCTACCTTCCCGTGCACCCCGTAACCCACGCCGCCGCTACCCCCGCATCCTGTCCACCCCTCGCCCTTTGATTTAAATGTCACAGGTCATTTTAATATACGCCCACCTCCATCCCTATTTGACGCACGTAATAACATCAACTTTATTATAAACAATTAACTTGTATTTTAAATAGACTCGATTTTTTAAATTACTTATCTTTTACGATTGTTTTAGGAATCTTAAGACAAATCTGTACATTTTATCTTTATACGGCGCTTCATTGACTTTTTTAACATTTATCAATGCAACTAAACACTACAAATATATTCAAATTGAACAGAGTATTAGTGCAATGTTTGATGCTTTTACAAACATGATAATATGAGTATTCTCAAATAGATAGTGTAGCGTACAACAAATAACATTGTATTTCAATTATTCCCACTTTCGTGAGACATTATAATTAATTGATATAAAAACGGCTAAACACTCACGCGGCCCGTCGCTCACGGGTCGCGTCCGCGAAATAACACCAGTACCATTCATCCTGATGAAGGGCCCCCGATGGGCTCGAAACTAGTCGGTGCCGCTTATATCTTTGTATAGGTCTTATGTATGTCGGTGTTAATGCGAAATGGAGGCATATAGGGCTAATTAGGTTAATTCCGTAATCTTTCAATGCGTTTCCATGCTATTACTATTTAAACTACTTAGTAATTAGTAAATGGATTGTTTGTAGTGATTCTTCTAATTTCAAAATAACTTTTTAACAAAAAGTTTTACTTTCCACGTGTAATTCGTTCCACATACATTACACATGTATTGACTTATTAGCCTACTCATGCATGTTCGAAAAAAAAAATTGTTGCCATTTCTTTCATTCTCTTTTAAAAAAGGAGAGACAACAATATGTTTTTAACAGGTTTTCGGTAGTGGAAACTCACTGTAAACAAACATTACTATAAGGTTTCATTGTAGCACGTTTTGTCCCTCGCTCGCGTGCCAGTGTGCCGGTACGTGAGGGAATCTACGTGAGGTTTTACGTAACGTACTGCACATGTCACGTTGACTATTAGGTTCAGTGAAGCCAACGTGATATTTATGTACTGATTTGACATGAGTATGTTTACTGAAGGTAATCTACGATATCCATTTCAATATTAACTTTACAACTGATAGCGTTACTTGTTTATTTCTTTCTTTAAGTTGTTGTATTAAGTTATAGTTACTGGAGCTACCAAAGAATGCAATAATCAATATTAAACCATTTTTCCTAATCAAAATTTTTGTTGCAAATCAAATGACTAGTTTGAGGTTCGCAATAGCAATCGATCTTTGAAACGCCTGATCTCTCATTTAGACGCCATCGAAAACATTTTGGTGACCATTCAATTCAAATCTTTTACTCTTCGGATTCATTTTAAAGATCAAGTAAGTTAGTTCATAGCTCTATTGCTTAGTTTTATTGATCCGATATTTTCTTCACATTGTTTTTTCTTTCTTCTTCACAATTCTACTAATGATAGCAATTGTCCCGTATCAATTAGCAGCAATTTAAAATGTAACAAAAAGTCTCCAACATTCCATTGTCAAGACCGTACAATTGCGTACTTAATATCGCTTCTTTTTTTTTAATTTCCTACGAATAACAGCAGACGTAGAACGTCCGAAGTTTCCGCCATTGTTTATACTTCAGTCTGTTAAAACAAAGCAACAGATAAAAAAACAACCATGCTTCGTTGACAAGAGTTAAATAAATAATAACTCTGTGAAAATACACTTTTATAGTATAGAAAAATCAGACAACTGAAATTAATTCATATTTTTGTTAAGATAAACATTTATAACTCCTATACATTACATATTTATTATTGATGTAGCCCACGCCTAAATTAGCCAAATTATTGTTCGTTTTTGTTATATTACGGTGTGTTCTTTTCTTTTATTTCTTGTAATTCGAGGTTATTTCTCTTGGGATTAGATCATGATATTGTATTATTCTCTTCCATTCTTAACAAATAACATATTTATATTTTATTTAACAACATATTAACTATTTCGGACGAATGGAGCCCGATAATTAATTCAGGAACATAAATTCTACATTAAAAGTTGTTCTAAGTAAATGTTTGTGATAAAAAGAAACAATTGAAACTCGTCTCTGAGGATACAAAAGTACCAGGCCGACAGACAATCGTAGGCAATTGATATGAAAACAAAAGCAATCTACGTCTACTAATTGCTAAAAAATCTTAGTGCACTTAATGAACATTAATTTAACATCAATCACTTTCGGATCAAGTAAACGATCTAAAATCCTTGATAACTTTATTAATCGCATAACAGGTTTATAAACTGCTTTAGTGCAGTGAACTGTCGGCAACTTATATTTTATTGAAATCTGCAGTGCAGCTAACCGTTGCGGCTGCCGCGCCTTAACTGACCTCTCTATTATGATATAGCGGATTAATAATTGCATGACTGCTGATATAAAGTAATACAGTGTAATGCCTGTTAACACTATGCCAGTGCAGTAAGACAGTAGTGCTGGATTGGCAAGGTTGTACGGGATCAATGGCACCAGTTAGTGTTTACATTAAGCCAGTTGTATGTCAGTACAGATTTCGTGCGGTACTGTCTTACTGTACTGGCATACTGTAAACCGGTCATAATTGATATTTACTGTGGTATTTTAGATTAAAGTATGCGGTTTTGCTGTTTGATGTAATTTTAAGTGATTCTATTTGGGTGAGGTTTTGAGTTTATTATTGAGATGGTGACACAAACGATTAAAATGTTTTTTTATAAATTGTATTGCGATGGTGAAAAGATATAAAGTCATCGTAAACATTTAACAAATGATACTATTATCTATTCTGAACGGTAAAAAGGCATGCGACAATAAGGGTGTGCCCACATTGTTGTTAAACGATCCATTGATATACAGGGGGATTACGAATGTCGATTATGTTTTATCTTCTGAGATGAGCAAGATATCTCTTCCTAAGGTACAGATATCAGTCAACTCTAGTTAGAACATGTAATAAAAACCTTATCATCTTGTTTATAATTCTTTAATCAACTTTAGTCCAGTTGTTCAAAATCTTTGTCACCTTTTATCGCTTTGCATTTTATATTTTAGTACACGTGTTTGCGCAATGTAAAGTTACGGTTAAAGGCTTGGGTGTAGTGGAAACGGACTCTATAGGACGGTCGTGACTGCGAATGCGAAGGACAGGGAAAGTAAAAGGCCGCTGTATCGAGTTGCCGCAACCCTGTCATTTGTCAAACGTCAGGGCGCGTGAAGTTTTACTTAATTATATACCAGCAACTTGTTAATAGCTAATGGAGCTCGATAAAGTGTTATTATATGATGATATACTATACTAAAATTAACATGAATACATTGAGGGATTGATTATTTTGTATGGAACACGAGATAAGTTTCCAATATAGACTTTTTTAAATTAAAGTGTTTTTATTAACAGCTTCAAGCGGCGCGGGTAGCGGGCCGGGCGGCGGGGAGGTGCGGCGCGGCGGCGGCGGGGGCGGTGACGTCACGCCGCATGCGCCGCCGCAGCGCAGGCTCATCAAAGTTGACTTTGACAACCTCGAGGTAAGACATGATATGACTTCTTCCCTTAAGAGGGAATACACTAAACTTAACCGCAGTCAGGGACATTCATTTCCTATCCATTTCGTCGAAAATATGTTATAGCAACATTTATCGTGTAAAATCATATTATGGTAACAGTTTGATATACAATATAATATAATAGTTGGAAGTAAATTTAATTGTAAATACATGTAAACACATCATGCGACTAAACTTTGATTACGCGACCTCATAAGCATACCTCAAATATTTCATTTCAACATTTTGATGGATTAGATGTCATAACATTTTGACAGATAATATTCCCTTGATTTTACCGTTCCGTATGACTTTCTGGCAATATTGAATTTTCTAAGGACTGGAACTTCGAAATCGATATTTCGTTTCATTCACATCGAATAGATTAGATTCGGTAACAACTTTCGAAAGCGAAAATAAATTTTAAACGGAAACCAAAAAGTTTCATGCATTTGAAATAGGAAATTGTGAACAGTGTACTAGAATAGTGAATCTTTTTAATAAAAAAAAATAATCTGATTTTTGCTTAAATTGGTATGTCAAATAACCTAAAGAAATGTGACAAAACAATTTTTGTTTCAGAGTTAATTATAACAAATTTGTTTCATACCAACCAATATATTGACAAACGCAAAAAGCACGATAATAATTCAATTTAATATTGTTTACTTAATCCTTGAATTTTAATATAGTTTTATGGGTTTTATGTATAATTCATAAATACTGCGCGCAACATAACTAGATTCTACTCGACTTCATTGCTGATACTAAAACCCTTTATCAGTTTGTAGCACAAGGTTATGTATAAATAGAGTTAAACCAATGCCTTGATTAAATATCGCATGGTAACTTCTACAGATATATGCGATAGCTTTTTTATTTATAAAGTTGATTTTGTCGTATTTTCTTAAAAAGGTAGACTTAGAAATCGTTTAACTTTAGAATTCCCGTCTCAGCTGTACAAAAAATATTTATCTTTTTCTTCTTTATTTTTGGCTTCAGCGGTTTGTGTATTAGCCAGCGTCAGGTAGAAAAACAAATTGTTATTGTTCCGATTTTGTTTGAAAAACCATAGACAATTTTTTTTTTAGAATACGGTAAGTTGAAGAAGATTCGTAAGGCTTATAACAAATAACAATATTTGTTATGATAACACTACAGCCTGTGAGCCATTATTGATATAATGCGCTAATGTAAGACAGTAAAACTATACGAGTTATTTTTTTTTTCATCTCAGATGCAACTATTCTCGTTTAGATTTATCACGTACAAATTATGAACACAATCTTCAGACGATTGTTCAACAGTTCCTTATTGCGTTTAGCTTTCGAGAGCAATGAGGTTTTAATGGATGTATAGAATAAGATCCGACTTTGTGTCGTTGACTTTATCGGGTACTAATAGACCGACAAATTTATCTGACCCGGGGGAAATAAGTGAAACTTTTATATTTCCTGATCGAACGAATTGCGATGTTAGCACCGGGTCCATCAGTCCCCCCGATGGGTAATAGATGTCCAGGTGGAAATTTTAACGTATTTGTACTTTTGTACAAGCGTGTCGACAACAATTATTATTATGGAGATTAACTACGAGTATGTTGTCGTACTAAATTAGTCATTTTAAAGATTTACTTTTATATTATTTTTATATGTTTGAGATTTTTCCTCTGTAAAAAAATAAAATAGTAAATAACACTTTTATATCTAACAGTACTCATAACAATGAGTTGACATTATACAGGATGTTAAATTTTTACAAAACGAACAGTTGGACCCCTGGGAATTATATTTCAGGTCGAAAAGATGGCCTAACTGACTCTTTTCCGGGTCTGATAAGTTTATCGAACTATACTTTTCAGTGCTAGCGATCAGGCGTGACTGGAATAATTGCCTATTTATAAGTAAAACGGTAAAGTTAATGGTGTAACGTAATCACACATACAATTTTGTAAAAGGATTTTTTTTTAAATCAGTCAACCGGAACGTATAGCGAAAGCTAGCATCTCTTGTTATGTACTCGTTTATTTCTTATATCGAGTTTTAAAATCATTATTTTTTTGTGTAGTTTTATGCTTGTTATATGACGTCTCATCTTTCTCATCTCATCTTTTTGTACCTTTTAATTCGTTTATTTCTGAAATTTTCAGATTTAGCTTTCGGTAAAATTGTATATTGAATTATTTATGAGAAAACCATAATTTTTAATCGGTTTCTTTGTTTTGTTCGCGTTTTGTGCAACGTTATGATTTCGACACAGATGTTTTGGGCTGCAACAATGCATTTGAATTCAAACCAACGCAGCAAATCAAAGAAATTAGGTCGTCGTTTTTCAACTTTCAATGCAGAGTTAGCGTACTTAAAATATACCTAGATCGTATTGAGTTATTTCGAAAGGAGGTCACAGCCTCCGCGTCCCTGTTAATAAATACAAATAAAACTGAAGCGTTTGAAAACTAACATAGAGATTAATATGTTGGTACAAGCTTTGTATCATGCTTGTTGAGCTCTAGCGAACTATGTTTATGAATCCGGATATTTAGAAATACTAAAGCAGTACAAGATTGTTTTAAAAACAAGTGGTTGCATTATTTGCCTCTTTATTTAAACACTAGCTGACGCCCGCGACTCCGTCCGCGCGTAATTAAAAAAAACTATTGGTCGCATCGTAATGTTATATAGCCTAAAGCCTTCCTCTATAAATGGACTATCCAACAAAAAAAGAATTTCTCAAATCGGACCAGTAGTTCCTGAGATTTAAACAAACAAACTCTTCCGCTTTATAATATTAGTATAGAAGAGTCAGTTATCAAACTAGAGGTAGTTATCAAACGTCAGAATAATAAACGCTGTTTGTCAGAATAATATTGCCTTTGGACGTTATCAAGTATAAGTGTTTAATAGTGACTAAGAGCGTCTTCTAACGGCACATAAATATCCTGTAGAAAGTAAACAGTTAGGTACACTTGTGCAAACTCGCGCAAGGTTTCTGTGCCCTAGTTTTTCAGACGTGACAGAAATTCGGACTTTATCAACCCTCACGAACTTTAGCACAAAAATTTGCGAAGCAAAACATTGCTAAAGTAGCTACGACTGTGAACTTAATCTCAAATAATACATATTATAATTTAGCTACTTATGGGTTATGTAGTCCCTTTTTTATTTTTCATATTAAATTTTCCTTAGTAATCAGAAAAATATAGCGGTAGTATGTCGATACAATGATATGCCTTTTGCTGGAAGCGACAGTTCATTTTCAATGTACTCGTAAGCGTGGTTAACCGCATCGTTAGCAGCGTGTTTTGCGTGTGCTTGCTAATAATTTGTACAGTTATGTTTATGTTTATATTGATTGAATTGTTACCATTTTCATATTATGATGAATAAATGATTAAAACCAATGTACTTTATTGCCAGTACGGATTTTTGTTGCACGGAATTACGTTTTTGGGTCTAACTATAATATTTGGTGTAACTTTTTTTTAATCATACATGTTGACATCGCCTAGTTTTCAACTGGTAGTTTTTGAGTTTCTTCAAAAAAAACTCTGAATCTTATAATGTCAACAGATATATACTTATAATCTTAATGAATATTCCAAAACATAGCTTCCTTTATATGTCCCTTCTATATGAATAAGCCGTGATGTTTCCATCAATGGAAATGCCGCGGGCGTACAGTGGCAAAAAATAGGAGACATCACGGTCGCTCAGATTACAGGGCCACTCACTAACCGTGATACCGGAACTGTTACACTTTCTTGTAATAACTAAGTAAGTTTATTTTATAAATGTTACTCATTGTTCGATTTAGAATTTTCGAACGAATTTTGGTTACTTATTTTGTATATAATAAGTCACATCTAGACGTTTCATAAAACAGTGAAATGAAAGAAATTAGTAATTATAGTTATTTGTAATTATTGTTTATTTAATTTATTTTACTTTTGAAAATGTTAAGATTAATTGGCAGTTTTAGTAGAGCATCACGAACGACCTGTCGAAGTACCTACTATAGCGGATATTCTTAGAATTCTTTCTAGGTCAAGGTTCAATTTTTCTCATGTTACCTTACACGTCTTTATATTGTGACGTTACAATTTTAACTTTCTTCCTGTAGTTTTAAGATTCAAAATGTATTTTTAATTCGTTGGGGAAATCCTGAGTTTTTTGAAGTTGCAATATTGACGTCACACAAAGGTTGTTGAGGCTCGCAAATTACCGTTTCGTTGGAATAACCGCAATTATACGAATTGGGATGTTTACTGTATGACGTCATGTTTCTTGTTTTGGTATGCACTTTCTATGTAATACCAACATTGAGGAAAAATAAGCTTGCTAGTTTATCTGATAATTAGGGATGTACCAAATTGTCCTTTGTTAAATCTTAGAGTGAGATGAGAGATATTGCCATCTCTTTCTAATTGAATGAAGATGAAAACACTTTTTTAGTATGCGAAGTTCTCTCTTCCATATTCTTATTGATCGTATGTTCGTTTATAGGGTTTCCCTTGCTCGAGACAGAATGCAATTACTTGAGCAATTGCGTCGCATACTAATTAATTAACCGCTTTCACAATTTATGACGATGTTGAAGGTAGAAAGTCTGGTACTCATACCTAATTATGTACTTTTTTATTTAAACATTTTTGTTCTTTGTTGTAAGTAATGGTTAACTTTGTTTAACTTGTATAGATGTTGTAATGGGTGTTTGAATAATTTCAATTTCCTTTTCCAGGACGACGAAGACGAAGACGACACCGAAACATGCATAAGTCCGGAGACGTGCATCCCTCAGCCCTTCCCCCGGCATACAGCGCCGCAGCAACCCGCGCCTAAACCTTGGAAGCGAACTGGTACTAAACTGTCTTTATTGTAACAAAGTAACGCTATTGGTAAACTTAGGTATGGAGATGGCAACACAAAGCAATTTAATCTATATTGTCAATGAGCAATGGCAGCGAATCGCTTGACACTGCCACACGAGTGCAACCGCTTGCTGCTAACGCAAGACACAAAGCTACAATATACAGCAACAAATATTGACATATATTTAAAAAATTTAATTCAATGATAATAGAAGGTTAAATTGTCGTGCTCTTTCCTACCGCTGTCCCGGGCGGGTCCGGCGTGGGCACTGGCGAGCCCCCGCGCGCGCCGCCGCGCACGCGCATCTCTCACGACGAGTACCACCAGTTCTGCGACCAGACGCTCGAGTGTATGACTGCTACACTTGGCTGCATGACTCGATGCCTTTTGCCTTTCTTTTTGCATCCATGTTTAAAAATATAAAATGTCACTTTCAATGTCGCTGTTTCCAATAGATAAGGGTCGTACTATAATTTGTTTTTTTTTATCTTTAAACATCCTCCATATTCTTTTAGGTGTTTAAAGATTTTTCAATGCCCGAATTTTTTTTATAAAATGTTCACCACAATTTTGTTCATCTCTGATATTTTCCCATGCCGTTATTTTATTTAAGAATTTGTATTTAATCCAATCATTAAGACCACTCAAGTTAATCTGTAAAGTTTCTGCAGACTACACTGGCATGTTTTCACTTATTATTTTAATAGTTGTGCTTAGTAACAAAAAATGTGCCGATTGAATCTTACACAATGCTTATTCTATGACAGTTTAAAAATATTGCTTTAAATTATCTAGACTATAGGCAACAATAACATTATAAAGCTCCGAACGAATTATTTCACATGTTTTTAAAATCATATTTGCTTTACTTGCCTTTTTATGCTTCTTAACATATTTAAATACGGTTGTTAGACTTCTTTGTAAGTAATTTAACAAGTACTGAAGCGATTTTTGTATCACGCTTTCGTCAATCATTTTGTAATTAAAATTAATTTGCTCACGTATATCCTGAAATAAATATTATAATATCTAAAGAATTGATAAAATTTCTATGTCATGTGTATAGAATAATATTTGAATTCTATGTAATATAAATATTTTGCGTATATTTATGATGATTTGGTTCACAGCATACGATCTGGCGACACAATGTCCATCGCGGCGCGCGTCCATGCGGCGACACACGGTCACGCACGTCTGCCCTCCCAGCGATGGCGCACAGTCTCTACCTCACTCCAGGTAACCTGCTTATTAATAGATTTCTTAAAAACACCAATTACTTCAATGAAAGTAAAGACTCGAAAGTCCAAGTTGTTTGGCTTATTGTAGTGTAATTAAGCAAATGATGTTAAAAGCATAATTTTAGATTAAGCTAATTAGAAAGAATACATGATCTTTGGTTCTAAAATGTACACTCTAAATCAGTTCCAAAAAGTATGAAGAAACAGGGAGACTAAAGTTACATCTAAACTAAACGATCGAATGAATTTAACTATAAGTTTGTAAGACCAGCCGTGAGTTTCTGAGGCCGAAATCTTCTTTTTAAATATGTTATGTCTGTTTTGTCAAAGATAATGAGATTTCATAGATTTGGTCTCAGAAACCAACATTAATTAGACTAATTAGAGTGTATATGTGTAGGCCTGGTTCGCGTGCGTCGTGCGCGGGCGCAGCATCGCTAGCCAGCAGCGAGCTGGACGCGCAGCTGGGCGAGTTGTCGTGGTCGCGCTCCTCGCTGCAGGACGAGCTCATCAAGTCGGTTAGTGGCAGCCCTAGTAGCAAGCATGTGAGTAGACGCTAGAATAACTAAGCATTACATCGCCAACCCTAATTTATCTGTTCTATTAAGATTTTTTGGTAAGTTTGTGTTATACGTTTAGCTTCATATGCATCTATACATACACAAAGAGCTAATTTAAATTCTACTTTTAATACATGTTTTGCTAATTATTTTCATGCTTTAACTTTAAATACTTCAAAGTAAGCCTCATATCATATTTTCATCATAAAATAAAATTGTATTTGCTATCCTTATAACAAAACGGAGCAAGGTATTCAATGCATTTATTAAAGATGATTTGCGATATAATCTGTATTATATTATGTTTGTATGTTTTGTGCAGAAGCAATGGCAGGAAGCGATAATGTCGGATGACCGGCTGTCGCTGACTCTGGAGGAGATCGTACACATCAGATCGGTGCTCACAAAGGCAGAGCTCGAGTTCTTGCCCTCCGAGGGCAGAGTCAAGGAAGATGTCGAGAAGAGAAGAGTGAGTTTACATTTTTTTGACAACAGTTTGACCGATTGAGATATTTACCAAAAGTTTTAAAATGAAAATAAGACTAGAAAAAGTTTTCTTCTTAAATTTATATTTATCTTTTGTTTCAATTTTACTTTCAGGTATGTTTCCTATGTTTGAAAACAAGATTTGGAATATTCGGCCCCTGGGGGCAAAAGTGCAAGCTATGTAAAAAGACTGTCTGTCAAAAGTGTTGTTCAAAGGTGAGTTGCTAGAACGCTAAATAGTTAGTCGGCTACGTATTCTTAATTCAATAAAAATTTGTTAAATTTATATTTATTGTACAGATGCGCATACCGACGGAGCACTTCGCGCACGTGCCGGTGGTGCTGCTGAGCCCCTCTCTACTGCCCTCTCCCGAGGACGAGGCGCCCTCCTTCCCCCGCAGCCTCGTCTCGCGCCTCGTCTCCCCGGAGCACCACGTTAGTAATCTTTTCTCTTCCATGCCTTTAGAAACAAGTATTTTAGCTATCGGACTCGAAGGATCATATCCGATTCCACCTAAAAACTGTAGCTTAGTATTTTCTTAGTGTAGTACACAATGTTAATTAGCGTATGTGTGTGCAGGACAACAGCGTGGGCAGCGCGCCGAGCAGCCCGGTGTCGCGGCGCGCTTGCCCGCAGTCTGCGCCGGGGTCGCGCGGCGGGTCGCGCGGGGGCTCCGCGCTCGGCTTCGCGGACCTCGCCGTGCACGCGCCCGGCGCCATGACGCGCTCCGTGGACGGGCCCGGCAGCATGCCCTGCGTCATCAACGACCGCAGGTATGTCCGCATATCCTCTGGATGAGATACGATGAATGGCTATTAATTTAAAAGCGCAATATTTAATTGAGGTCGATCAGTATGTCCAGATCGCGGTGCGGGCGGGGCTCGGGCGGCGCGTCTGCGGCGGAGCGGCTGCGCGGGGTGCAGATGGCGGTGTGTCACGACTGCAAGGCCATGGTGCTGCAGATCATCAAGTCGTCGCGAGCCGCGCGCTCCGCCTCCCGCGACCGCGCGCTGCGACACCTCACGCTCGACCTGGCGCCGGTCTACACAGACAACTGTTAGTCGCCGCCGCGTCCCACTCATCCCTTCCCTTCCCTAGTGTTAGCAAATATCACTAGTTGTAAAGCGATCGTATCGCGCGGGAAAGCGAAATGGAACTATTCAAACGCAGACGAGTGCTGCAGTGTTAGTTGTCTTGCGGAAAACCGACAAACTCAACAGAGGCATCGTTGGATCTGGGTCAGTTATTGTATCAAGGACAGTATGAGTCAATATCTTGCGGAAAGATTATAATGATGGCGTAGAATTGGGTTTATTAGTGAGCGCGGTGTTTCACCCGAAAAATGTTAAAATGTTTATGACCTTTCTGACTACATTCTCAAATTGACACTATCCATACTGTTGATAAGGACAACTCGATGGTCGGAAGGATAGAAGTTGTCTTGATGACTTGGCAGCATATTTTCATTTTAATTCCAGCCGAGTGGGTAGTGCTATCGGCAACTGCGAGTATTAAATGTGACTTTGAACCTGACTGACCAACAAATGTACAACATTTATTCAGCAACCTGTAATGGCAAGATTTTGTGTGCCCCGAGTCCCTCCGTACTTTTTTGATTTTTTCTTAGTAATTATCCAAATCTATTTAAATTTTGAGGCCTATTTGAATTAAGAAGGCAAACCCTTTTTTTTCGCAATTCTCGTAAAGGACAACTTTCTAATACATAGTTATAGGTAAAGTATAGTCGTTTGTTTCTCAGTGAAACAGTTGGTTGTTTTTGACCACAACAAGCCGCTTTTTGAATATAAATCATGTATTCTTTATAGATTTTTTGTTTGTTCAATTGAATATTTATTTAGCCATAATACTTGAAGTATTAGTTTTCTGTTCTAGAAGCATTTTGATTATCGCTATAATCGAATATGATCTTTTGTTACCGTACAATTGTTTTATTAATTTCGTATAATGTTAAGATCAAAATGATTTCTTTTAACTTTTTCTTGACTACTGGCAAAGAAATCGTTTTCTTTGTCAAACAAAAGCGACCTTTATCAACTAACATGTGATCAATTTTTGTTTAGTAGTTTAAACGAAATGAGATTTCAGGAAAATTACACTTAGTAAAAATTTACGGAGAGACATTAAGTTGACTACAGGCAGAGAAATATTTATTTTTCCAATACTTAAAAGTGAAATTCTTTAACAAAGAGCTTGCGAGGTTGTATAGAATTAATGTTGTGTTTCTAGACGGACCGTACCAAGTACATTTTACCATTGAATTTCATGTCGACAAAAAAAATTGACAAGACTTTGACATTGACAGATAATACGTAGCTTCCTTTATATTTATTTATCGCACAAAAAACTTATAAACCTTCTTCAATTAGCCATCTAAAAACCTCATAATACAAAAAAACATAACTATAAATTAAAGTAAAAAATAGATTATGTTCAAGAAATTACTAAGATTGTATTTTGTCACCTAGATTTTTAATATATATGTAACAAACATTTATATATTTTTCCTAATAGAATTTAAAATATGTCTACAAGTTGAATATATAGCATGATGTTCTGTGTTCAAAAACTCGTAACGTACTATAAATGTTGTGTAAAAGATGTGTAATATATCTGAATGTTAAGTGTTCATGTTCATGTTTATTTTGCTAAAATTGCATTTCGTGTTTTAAATTTGAGGCATACCGTAACCTTGTGAGATATCCTTGTGAGGCGTCATAAGAGAGCATATATCCGTCATTATTCCATTACATTTGACTCTCATTGTAGTTGTGTTTATATACAAAAATAAAAAATTCGAAGTACTGTGCCATAACCGCCATCCACTGTTGCATTGTCGATATACGGGCGATATGTCATTTGCTCGTATCACCGACGCATAGATCAAGAAAGAATAAAACAGTTTTGGTTATTTTTTAATTTCTATTTATTTTTATAAGGTAATTGTAAAACTGTATGTGCTATTTGTGAGCTGACCATATATTTCATATCAAATATTTATGTGCTACATATCTATTTTTTTTGAATAATTGAATTATTTAAAAAGTAAACAAGTTTTGCAAAATCTTGCCATAGCTTAAAGGCTACCAAAAAAATGTTAAATATAAAATATCACAGCTTATGCCATCCGCATTTCGCCTAATGTGTGCCTAATTTTAGTCCCTTTTCCCTTTCCACCCTTTCTTTACAAGGATATGATGGGAAGGGAGCTGGATTTTTCAGATAAAGGGAGGCACAGGAATGGGAAATAACCTCTTTCTGTGCGTACCTCTGCTAATTACAGGTAAACAATGCACCTGCAAATGTCTATGGGCAAGACTCATATCACTATTTTGGCGAATTTAAGTGGCCAGTGGATCATTACCTTTGCTATAAAAAGTATTTAACACCTTTTTATATTATTTTATGTATAGTCTTAAATCTATGATATAAAATAAAATTAAAAAAAAAACGAATAATTCACTAAAATATGTTAATAAAAGGAGTCCCTTTATGTATGTATTTATTCAAGAAAAGTATGTAGGTGCTAAAAGTGTTTTTTTAATTTGAAATTTGGTCAGCTCGCATCCACTTCTGTAATATAAATTAAAATTACACTGCTTATTCTTCACTCATTTCTATGGTAAATCTAGTTTTAATTAAATTATTTTGCCAAATATGTAACCTATCCAAGACCTAAATGTAAATATAGATTCCTTTAGTGTCATCTTTATATTGAATATCTAATAATTCCTGTGTTCGTGTAACTAATATTGATATATTGAATTTGTCTCTGTTGTCTAATCTGTGGAATCGGTTGGTACCTAGGTCCAAAATAAAATCTGCTTATTATTGATTTTTTTTCCCAAAAGGCCTAGTTAGTCATATTAACCTGCCAATTGTATGTTTTCATGTAATTTACCAAACTTTTGTTTTAAACTCGTTACATAGTATCCGAATTGAAATTGTACCTTATTAAAATCGAATTCCCAGTTACAAACTTCTTGAATGTATATAAAATCTTCGTAGTCTATATTAGATGTTATATGTAGAATATAAAAGAAATAATAACGGGAAATAAAACAAATTACAGATCGTTCTTAGCTTGTTTTATTCAAATGTCCTACAGACAGGTAAGTGAGCTTAAGGTTTCAATTAGAAACTAACCAAAGCACTCAGGGAATCCCACAATGAAAATTTATTAAAAAATACACTAAAAGACATCCTTAGTAACCTATTAACAACTATGACTCAGTTACCGTGGGTTTCTGAGCCCCAAATCACCGTTTAAAACACGTTATTTTTGTGTTGTCAATGATAATGACAATGTCTTATACAGAGATTTTGGTCTCTGAAACCCACGGTAAGCGATGTAAGTGCACTCTACAATGAAACTAGTGTTCCCAATGTCTTTTGATGCATTAAAATCAAAATATTTAGAAAGAAAAAACAATATTGTATTCATTTTTATTTTTTTTTAATAAAAACAAAAAATGACACTGAAATAATACAACAAAATTATATCACAATACATTTTATTTTTCGATCACTATTGATGGTGTTGATTAAATAAATTGTCTAATAAATATCGCTTAACCTACTACCAAGAGGTCTCCTACAAAGTCGTAGGGAGGTATTTCTAGGTTAAGTGGAGCGGGTCCTTTGCGGATACGTCCGGATGCATCGTAATGGGAGCCGTGGCATGGGCAGTAGTAGCCACCAAAGTCTCCAGCGTTGGCAATGGGCACGCAGCCCAAGTGAGTACACACACCAATAACAACAAGCCACTCAGGGTTGGTGGCCCTCTTCTCGTCGGGTTCAGGGTCACGGAGCTCATCAAGCGGTACCGCTTTTTCTGTGCTAATCTCTGCTGCTGTCCTGTAGAAGAAATTAACGTGAATAATGAATTGATTTAATTCAGACCAACCATAATGGTGATATAAAAACAAATGAACTTGCTAAAATGTTAATAGCCTAAGTTATTTTTAAACCAGTCAAGCCATTTCAGAGATAATACTGAGAACAAATGTGGATTTGTGGATAGACAGATAGATTTAGGATTTGGTACATAATGTATTCATGGTATGATAAGCGTTTTCTTTACATTTGGATACTAGAATTTATCTAAAAACTAGATATAGATTTCTGAATAGACAAAGATTTCATTTTCAAGGTTCAGATACATGAATCCCCAAAAGGGTTAACTTCATATATATCTTTGAATTTATTATATGTACATAAATATACATATGCAAATTGAAAAACACATTGGTACATGATGGGATTATATTGATCCCTGAGCCAAAAAAGGTCTTATTTTTGAGGTTATCTGTAAACTAATGAAAGAAAAGTTAATTTAAATAAATTTACCTGTGACGAATAAACAGCGGCTTTCCGCGCCACTTGAAGGTGACAGACTTGCCCTCGGGTATCTCAGCAAGGTTGACCTCGATCTTGGCTAAAGCAAGCACGTCCGCCGCGGCCGCCATTGATGACACAAAGTGAGTGACCACGGACTTTGCAGCATATGCGCCGGCCACGCCACCAGCTGAGGAATGCCAACAATTTATTATGATTTTATTTATGATTAATAAACAAATAAATGATTGTATTAGGCTGGCATTATATTGTAAAATGGTTATAGCTGGTCAACCATGAAACAACCAACCATTTTTTAGCTGACTTCAAAAAGAAGGATGTTATCAAATCATCTGTATTCTTTTTTAAACATTAATTTGTAAACCAATTGCAATATTTACGACTTGCGACAATATTTAACCAATTGCGCTTTTTAATAGCAGCACATATTTATGTTTGATATTCATAGAAAAACTAAAAGCTATTATGCCTTTACAAAATTTCAAATAGATCCATTAAATAAATAAGAATGTTCACTATATCACTTTATCACAGATTTTACTATAATAGTAAACCAATAGCAAAAAGCCAAACTAATAAATTTCAAATGCAATTATGTCATCAAATCTAAATAAGTCATAGATTTACTATTTCTATGAACATATAATCGATTAGAAGTTAATAAGTCTTGCAATACTGAAACAAAGCTTTAAAATATGTTCTCCGAGAAAATTAAACTATCTAATAACTAAATAATCAGAATAAACTTTTAGTAGTTGTGTTATTTGGTGTTCAATAAATATCAACAAAGTTTTGATATTGTGTAACTAAGTAAAGCTAGCCTAATATGTTGCAGTTTGTTTAATGAAGAGATTGATGAATATGTAAAATTAGTAATTAAAACTAGATGTGTACTAACCTCCAGCAATAAGGTATGTGAAAGAGTTACGGGTGTCGACATTCTCCTTGGCCTTCGACTTGGGGTCTATGGTATCCTTGCGACGGTATGCTGAGAAGTCAGGGTATGCGATATCGGAGTGCGCAAAACGAACCTGAGTGGGCACTGAAAATGACATGTGTTATGTAACATTAATTTTCACCCATAATATCGATCAATAATTTTCTAACGTTATTAAAATATGAAGATTAACTTACGGTTGGTTGTATGCTTAACTTTCAAACCCTGAATAGGCAGAGCTCCATGCAAAGATTGCACAGTTGATGTCTTCGGTAGAGTTTGAGCGACCAGTTTGTCAACAGGAGTTGGGACTGCGACAACGGGCTTCAAGCCATTGGCCACCACTTGGGATGTAGCCTTGAAATATGGGGCTAAATGTCCAGCCCTTGCTACGGAAGTCATTTTGCTAAACTTATATTCTACGCAATATAATTGCTATAAATTTTTCGCTGGCTGCGAATTTTGGCAGGTTTCGTAATGAAACGTCAAATTGCAGTGTTGCTATAGTTTACCGAACCAGAACCACAGACGATTTAAAAAAGAAAATCAATAATCAAAGAATTTTGAAACGAATTATTGTGAACTTACTGCCGCAATAAAAATGAGGTAATTTTACTTTTAAAAGGGAAACTGAAAATATTTTGTAAAGTTTTATTAATTTTTATGATAGATGTCGGAAATACTATTTGTGATTCGAAAAGTGTTTGTGAATTCAATGTAGATGGCGTTGCCAAGGACATAAGAAGCATCATCTCGGGCTTTCCTTGATCGCGTTTCAAAGCACTTGTTACCTGTCCCGTTTTTAATGACAGTAACCAGATTAAGATTTTCCGTTTGGCATACCTCAAAGTCTGAACTTTACGGTTACGAATACGTAAGAACTTGCTTGTCGTTTACGCGTACAATTTATAATTTAATTTTATTAAAGGAATTATAGGTATTCGCCTTCTCCTTTCATAGTGATTTCACGGTTCTTCTCCTTTCATGGTTTCACGGTTTATAGGCCACGGCCACGATTATATTTGATTATTTATATCTAAGTGTTTTATACAGAGATTATTGTCTCAAAAAACATCCAAGTCAATGATGTCCCAATAGAAGTTATCGGAGTTAAATATGGACGTATTTTTAAATTAAACAATTTTACAATAGGACGCGGATGCGCTCAATACGTGACACGACAAGCCGGCGCTTACCTCATTCAGAACTATTTCTATTCTATCGACGCCCGTATTTAATATGTCATCAGCTAATATTATACCTATTCTTGCCTTTTAAAGAAACAGTTCGATAGTGATTACACGTATTTGCGTACTGAACTGTGTCTGTGAAACTGACAACGTTGTGACATCTCCACGCTGTGTTGAATTTTCTTGTTGGCGCCAATGACTTCTTGAAATATGGAGTTTTCGTTTTCATCTTAAACGAAAATGTAATATAATTAATATACCCTATACTTGAATAGAGATATTTTAAAATCGAAATAA